TCAAATATGCCCGAGGCGCTCTCAGATATTTGCCGGCGTCACAGCAGCAACTCGACAAGACAGACCTTCTAACCAGCCAAGCTTCTGCGAGGGAAAACCGTTCCGAACCCGGTACTCCCATAGCCACCGTGAGACTAACTGCTTTTGCCCGCGACCTTATTCAGCCACCGCGATGCATTGTCGGCTGAGGCGAGAGGGCTGTGGCGATGACGCTTATGGACGGACGATGGCTGCCACCTTATCGAGCTAAACGGGGAAACTAAGTTAAGCACCCAGTTGGAGGGACAGGTTAAGCACGCAGACAGAGGGCCTGTGGCAAGAAAGAAGGCCTTCAGAGCTTTTAAGGCTTCTTCTCGTTGTGCGTCTGACGATGATGACTTGCTGAGGAAGAAATATTTTAATTGTTATGGTGTTTTTAGGAGACGTTCTAAAGAAACGTGGAGTTAATCTATATTTGATGTTAATGCACATAAGCTGTAACGTTTGAGATATCTGGGGAATAGTGGGTAAGAAATTGCTGTTTAATCGTGCGAGACAAAAAGAAACCGGCTTTGTAACCTATGAAAGCATGACTCCATAGAATATACGGATAAAATTGGACAAAATCTAGGCAGATGAATACTTCTGTCAATTTAGACGTGATAATGCCGAAATTCTACAATTTCTAGGGTCGATTATTCTGATGATGATTGTTAAAGCAAATTCTACTATGCGAAAGTATGATGTTAGCATTATGTGTGGTACGTGTGCCACAAAGCACAAATGTACAAAAACGATTTGTTGTAGCTGCTACAATTTTTGTTCACTGCTACACTATTGTTGTACAATAAATTCAGTTGCTTTATAATCTTCGTTCGAGTTTTCTTGCCTGCGGATGTGTTTTTTTGTTTTGAGTTAGATAACGATTAACGTTATCTATTATTAACGAGTTATTCTGGGTAATGATGCTTACGAGGTCAATAAGGTTGGACTGGTTAACTGTGAAATATATATATATATATATACAAACCGAGACTGCCATTGATCGTAAGGACAGTATATTGCTTTGGGATTATCCGAGCTCACGAAAAAGACGTAGGAATAATTTATAAAACAGTGAGTTACACTGCCGATCAATCATAATAGTTCGAGTGTGCTAAAGCACTATGTGTTTAACTTTACAGCAGCACGGAACTTTACGAAAATACAAAAATGCTTGCTTCAAACGACAGATTATATATAGCCAGCGACAGAGTATTTATTTCCGGTATAAGCCAAACCTAAAATTGGGTAGACGAATATAGAAGAATACCGAATGTACACTCTTACATTTATATGGGTTTCCCCTATAACGATATTGTAAGCTTCTTTAGCCTGGTTCAGAGAAGGCGTTTGTATGAACTATGACTATGGGCTGACCAGCCAATTTTTCTAATTCTAACACACTCTCATCTATTCCAGCGCTATTTTCAAGGGTCAACTGAAAGCAGGTTGCGTTTTATGAAAATCGTTATATTGAGCTATATTACATTACCTTCTTGGAGAATATAAGGGCCAGAGTAAGATAAAGTCACAGAGGCTAATACATTTTGAGCCCATATGAAACTCTATGCCGCTAAGGCTAATTCTACGGAGGAGATAGGCGACCTTAGAGTACCACTCAGTTTGGTATAAATTCGTATGTTTATATATACTCCAAATAAAACTGTGGTACCGTATTGTTGCACTGCAGTTTCTATTAGCAGTAAAATGTCACATATGGTTGTTTTTTTTTGAAAGGAAATTTTGACGGTTTTCTTGGCACGTGACCGATAGTCGAGATCATGGATCATTGGGTTATTTATATCAAAAACAAGCAGTAGCACGGTAGTTATACAGGCTTCAGTGCCGTCAAACTGCTTCTGTTCATCAAACTAGGTGCAAGTCGCGAACGTATCAGTGCTTGAGGAACTCAATACCCGACTTCACGCTGTCGAACAAAATTTCATACTGGCCTATAGTACACAGAGAATTATAATTTTTTACGTGTCTGAAGGGTAATTGACCACAAAGTATGAGTTTTTTCTTCTAGTCACTAGCCCTTTTCAAAAAGCGTTTTCCCTTTAGCCTTGTTGAACGACTGACTTCACCACACGAGATCTTCCGCGGCCTATAGAACCGTACTTATGGCCCATAGAACGTGCACGTTGTTACTCTATAGAGGCCAGCGACACAGGTATCTTAAATTGATATTTTCTCGGAAGTGAACCAGTTGTTCTTGGCCAATTCAGGTTGTATGTGTGAATTGTGGGCCACGATCTAATTTCAACAGACTGTCACGGCCTTTATGCCGAAATAACTATGTCAAATGCTAGCTCTCGCAAATATTCGATGTATAATGTGAAAACCCGATGGTTGAACTACCTCGATTTCCGATACATTTAGCCAAATACATGAACTTTAGCGGCAAACCCGAGAGGCAACATGGACTATTTCCTTAAACGCGATATCAGCTCGTCAAAAAAAACTGTGCCTCAAAAGTTACTAATCGATGTTATTAACTTCAGGCGTCTATACAGTGGCATAGAGCTAATAACCAGCGCAGAAGATGGGATTAATTTTCACTGATATGGCATAAAGGTTTATGAGAAGGCATACAGTATCTCGACTTCGGTCATCTATCCACTGTCTTCTTTCAAGCCTTTCAAATCGAAAATGCCTCGTTAGGACGTAGTAGGCCATTTTTGAACGTGTTCTCAGTTATCGAGTCCTCGTCGTATAGGCCACAGCTATTTCAGTTCACCTGTCTTGATGGCTTTTTGACTTTAGTGTAACGCACATGAACGCAAGATCGAACGAGCTGGCAGGTGTTTACTAGTACAAGTAAAACGTTGTGACCTGGACAAAATTATCAACGACCGTGTAAACGAGGCAAAGAACTACTAGCAGTATATAGCGTTCGGCCATCCGCGAATAAGGGATCGGAAAAGCGAAACAATAAACTAGGGCCAACCTTACTTTCCGACAGTTTCAGTTTGTTGTGTTGATATTGTGTTTACTACTTTCGAAGAGTTGTTGTTTTTCGTTAGGACTTTTCCATAATCCTTCTACTATATTACTGTCAAGCTAATGTAGCTAGAACAAACTACGGACAGCGGAAAGACAAGCGTCCTGATCACCTGATAAGTTTTATTCTGTTGGCTTTATTACTTTAATTGTCCCTATGAATATTATAGCATTCGGTGTATGATCCGAAATTAAGTCATTGTTTTTATTATCAGCATCGTCACGAATGTATATCTATATATGTATTTAATGTGTATAGAATTTTACCACACGCGGTACAGCGGTGCAGTTTGCTCTGCTTTAGGTAGCACGTACTTTGTTGTCCGATGTCGTCCACTTCAAGGAATTACGAATTAGCAATAGTACGATGCACGATATGAGACCGCGGTCCGATTTGATAGCGATGACATATTCTTCCGTAAGAAGTATGATGAGACCGAGACGTGTCTGACATCGAGATCGTATGCCATTACATTGACCTATTTGTTTAAGCTTCATTAAAACTGGCTGTAGGTTTCTTATTGCACAGTTTAAGATTAAACCCGTATAAGGATTCAAACTAGTCCTACTAGTCGTCCCATTTTACGTATAGCATGCCTGTTGTGGAGCAGGTTGATGGCGGTATAGGCTATCTCTAGCAGAACATACCACTACGAAGTACCATCTTCCGACAAAAAGTCCCACGCTTGATTCGAGCGTCAAATCGATCCGGCAATAGGCCACCATTGTTCAAATATTAAGCCATACCGACTATCTTCCTACTTTGTCAACTCATCTCTATAACTATGATTCATATTCTTTTTTTTATACCCTACATTGCCGTTGGCGTACAACTCGACACATCTGTTGCAGGCCGATAAATACTAGTTTTTCATTACAAGCTAGAAAACTCGCGAAATTGCCAAACAAAAAATGACCCTAAGGTATGAGTTATAATTGTCTGCTAGGTAGTGGATGAATTTATAGTATGTCTGTATAGCTACTATACCTAGGCATGAGCAACGTCTATCCGGTCGACTCCTAGATACTCTTATTATATATATATACATATTATTTGAATATTTTTCCTTAGCTAATATATACCAGCTTATTGTTTTGTATGTATTGCGACTATTATGTTATATTTGATACACTGCTCATATCTAAGGACAATATGTAAATAAAGAACAGAAATAGCCACTATGGTCTTCGGTTATTAGGCCATATTATTAAATGCGCCGGGCAACGATTTTGCCCCTTCAGTTATGTGCGCATTTGTTAATAAATTAACCTAGTTGTTATTACTTTTTAGTTTTTCATTAGCGCAAGCCTCTCATTAACTATCCAATCCGTTCGTGGGTCACAGAGCACGTCCAGCCGCCTTTCATCGAGCTTCAATGTTCTATAAAATAAGCCAGAAAAATCCAAATTTGTAAGCTAACTATTGCACATCATTATGGGGTTCACGCTTGGTAAACGCGTAACTTCAAACGCGTCCTCATCATCGCCCCCGATTTAGGTTTTGTCCTATCTTCTTTATGTCATATAGTAAAAAATATCCGACAAAACGGTTTGTACACAGCAGACCATCAAATTTAGAGGTAAGGTATTTCATAATAACGTCGAAAGTCGAAGTCCGAATCCAACGCCTTTTCTTGTTGTAGAATGTCGTTTGCACGTATGTATAGCGAAGGCCAAACCGCGGTGTTTTATTATGTACGTTACAAACTTGAACGGTAATGAACGTGCTATAACCCTGATTCTGTTAGTAGCAATATTTCCAGAGCGACTATAGCAGCTTCGTGCGTACCTACTCCGTGCATCCGACCCTATACGACGCAACGATGTGCAGGACAATATTGAAATGAAAACATTAAACGATTGTCGGTGCAGAGGTGTCTTACGAATAAATTATAGAAATTATGTGAGTAAATAAAGAACAGCATATGATATATTTTCTTCAACTGTAAACGGATTTAGAAAATACTACTTACTGATCCTTGAGCAACAGCAGAGTCATTTATAATGGAACTTAAAGTTAATTCTATATTGGCTGGTATCACATTAGTACAAGTCCTATATTAACTATATTTATTTCGTTTTGTGTTGGCTTGTATCTGGAAGAAGATTCGTTGCGTACGGTAGAGTCTGTGATTTCGGTGAACTGAAGAGAAAACGTTGAGACACGGACGGATGTCTTCGAATTTCCGTTTTTCTTCTTCTATATATATATATATATAAATTTTTGTTCGAGTGATTAAATGCTTACCTCTTGCTCGATCTATCTAATGCTTTGGTGCACAAAGTATTAGGCAGAATCCACTCTTGCAATAATTTTTTTAAACAAGTACGTATCGATAGTAATATACAATATAGAGGATAATTGAAAGACAGCGTTGGACATGGACGCTGATAGCTAAACGGCGCGTTTTTTTTTTTTTTTTTTTATTCTTTGTATCACGTTGTTTGTTTATGTAAACTCGTCCACGGGGCTCGAAACAACGACCCCCAGCGGTTGACCTTGTTGGCATATAAGAACTACGGTAGTAATAATAATGATGCTAGTAGTAATAAAAATCACAAGAAGAGCAGCACCAGCAAAACATACTTAACAACAAATATGGTGCTCCATAATAATGTTATGACATTAATAATAGTAACAATACTGGAAAATTCTGCTATTTTTATCAACACTCAAAGATTTCGTTATCGCCGGCTTTTGTGCGCATGTCCACGATGTGTAAATAGGTCTGTATTATAGTAAGGGTTCGATAAAATGATGTAGCATTTCGAAGATGTTGAACTCGGGTAAAGATTGAACTGAAATTGTTCAACTGTGTGAAAAAGTTATTGTTGTTAATCATTCACTCAGCGAAACTCGCTGTACATTATTGTACGTTTTTTGTCATTTAAAAAAAAAAATGCAGAAATTCACAATAGAAGTGCATTGTATCATGAAAAGTAGCGATTCAACTGTGACGAAGGAAACTATCGGAGAGGCTCGGTGAAACAAGACCTACGAAGACTTTTTTTCCGCATTACCTCCGTTCTAATGTTGGGCAAACGGCTTCCGCTTGATTAAATCGCAACGAAAATGCGCTCTCGTCGATGCGTTCTGCACAGGCAGAGCTGTGATCCTGCCGAAATTGTCGGTCATCGCCGCCGTCACTAGACTTGTCAGACCTCCTTTTCTAGACAAACTCCATAGAGGACTTTATAATTCACGAAGTAATTCCGAAATTAACTCATGTCCGCCAGATAGGATGTTCGTCGTCGTTCGATTCACAGTTTTCAATGCAGCTCGTTCTAATGAATGACGCGATACCGAACAGTAACGGGTAGCGGGGTAAATTGAGCCTACAACACAAACGTCATGGCTCTATACACTAGCTATGGTTGTGTTTTTCTTTTTTACTACCCAAGCAAAAGAGTAATCGAAAGCAAAAATGGTACGCCTACCCTAAAGACGAACTGCTCCTGTCCGCCCCATCGTCACCATTACTATTCGTATCTACTATCGGTATCATCAATTGTCCTTTAAAACGCGTGGGGCGTTGATGCAGCACTGCCGCTGGACAGCGCTAACATTCAAACCGAGTTGACCCCTACACTTTTCTCTCAATAATTAAACGCATTTCATTAAGTAACTACTATTTCTGATCGGCAGTCAATGTGCTATTTGTGTTGCGAAACGAAAATCTTAGAATCCGTAGTCACAAGTTACCGTAACGTTTCTCCTCTTCATGAGCGCCACACTTTGCCCACCACTGTGGTACAGATACCCAAATTCCCACAACCACAATCAGAAATATCTATAGAAAATTTAATGAAATAGTATTCTCTAATCTGTCATGTTTGTGACGACCTATAACGAGAGATCTGCTCGAAAGGAGGACTGAAAGCGGTCGTCGATGAAACAACTAAAATCAATATCTCCACGTTATTTATCACTGATCGCTGAGAAGATGATCGCTGACCTTATTCAGCTGAACCATCTGATTCAGTTGAAGCATCTGATTCAACTGAGCGTTCCGTTCTTTGCGTTGCATTAAAGTTGTCGTGTTATGAACCCAGAACTACGTGTACTGTCTCGGCTTAATATATCTCAGCGTGATTCCATCCACGGCCTCGTTCCGGGATGAGAGGAATGATTTTTCATATTGGGATTACATTTTAAGCTGCCACTCCATCAATGAACTCAACGACGAACTCCCCCTTCTCTGTATGCATATATTTATCCGTATGTATAACTATTATTAAGAATTTCTATTCCTTCGAATCCCTGAAATTGGGAAAAGATAGTCACAACGCAAAAACAAGGGGTAAATTAACCTAATGATCAAACAGATGACCATGTCGAATCAGACAGAAAACCCCGTCTACCTCGTTATACAGATTATATATATATATGCATATATAGTAATTATTTCCCGTCTTGAATCTGTAGTTTTACATGAGCAAAAAGTACTTTCTATATATTTCTCTAAGGTACTAGAGTCGCAAGATCAGCTTCTGAGTCTAGACAGAGTTTTTGTTCCCAACCAATAACACAGATTTAAAAAGGTTCGTTTAGAGAAAGCTCATCTAGAGCACTGCATTGCATTTCGGGTTCTTAGCGTGAGATGGGGTCTAAGCGACTGGCTCAACATGGATTTGAATGGCCGTTTTCAACGGGAACTCCTCGTAGATAACCAAGCCTAACACAACACCCGTAGAGAGTTTGACAGCTTACCTCCATTTATGAACTCTGGTCGGTAAATCTCGTCGATATCAGCGTCACTGCTGCTCAGCTCCAGCGCTCGCAGGTCGCTATAGCCTGTAAGAGCATATGGGCATGGCCACGATGTAAGAAAAACGTCGAAAAGCAAAAAGCACAGCGAATCGATCACAATCTTAAAATAGCTTCGAGCTCAACTTCCATGTATCGTTTATTTTCTTGTAATCCAAGAAAGGACTGATCGGTCTGTTACTAAATTCGATGCGTCACTTAATGGTTCTTACAATGACTCCGTCTTCTAACGGCCGATATAATAATAATTAGTGGTTTCTTTTCGTCCTACCTGCTGGCGCACCACCGAGAGTTTTACCATTCAGCATCGTGAACGATGAAGGCGATATTTTTCTTACGCTTTTAAACTCTAGAGCATCGTTTCGCGCGTCATCATAAGTCGCTACTGGCATAAATCCTTTACGTCGGAGTAGCTCACCACGACCGAATAGAGTCCCATTGAACCATTGCTGCGCCGCTATCAGCACGCACATGCCGGTCAGCATCAATAAGACTGCAACAAAATGGACGCGTTAAGCATCAAAGTATAAAATCGTACGCGTTGTATTAATGAATATGACCTAGCCAGACTGCCTATGGCTGATCTGGGAAAATATGTGCTTGCCCAAGACGGCTCAAAGCCGCACTGTCCGATCAAAGAGACGTCGTCCAAATAACGATAATAGTAATAATAATAATAATACATAGTAAACGTTAGCTTGTACTTGTCCCTTTGTAATTTGCTTTTTTTGTTCTGTCGTTCAAGATTCGATGTCTTCAAGTCCGTACGGGTCGTCGCGAAACAGAGCTGTCAAACATAAGTCACTAAAGCGGACTAGGTTACTTACTTAACACGGCTGTACTTTGGAAAACTAAAAGACCTACCGTTTCGCTAAGAACCGTTGCTCCCTCTGGCGCATCGGGCGCGTAATATAAGACTGACCTATTGTACTCTTTCAAGAGTTAAGCAACGGAAAAGGAAACGCGTTCTAAAAAGGTAGCGAATCCTAGTCTGTTCGCAAGCGTACAAGGAGTGCGCTGAAAATGGGGGAATCACAACGACTAATTAGAGCTACCAGGCATGTAAGTCGTAGAAACGAGAAGGGCTCTTCAGTGGGATGAACTCAAGGTCACGATCGGACGAATATTCGTCGAGCGCTGAACTTCACAGGCTCTACCACCTTTTTATAGTGAGCGAATATCGTGAATGCCAAACCGAGCCTAGTATTTATTTCCCTAAGGAAAAGAGACTTCACTGTTATTTTACGTCAAGACGCTAAGACGCGAAACATCAAGTACTTGATTGTACTCAGCCGCGCAAGACATCTACAGGCGACCTCTTCTGCTGTTGAGGCCCACCATCATCATAAAGCTACATGCAAACTATAAAGCCTGTGCGTGCTCTGTGTGATGCTCTCCATGCGAGCTCGATAAGCACAATCTTGTACGGACCTGCACGCTTTACGTGTGGTTCGCAGACAAATTTGCAACCATAGCGCTATCGTAGGTTACGATTCGCTCCGTCACGGAGACGAACAGCTCGCACCTTATGTATAAAACGATTTGATTACATCAGCGACAAACCTACTTACGTCACTAAAATGAAAAACCTGATGGCTATGCGTAATCCGTCTTAAGATTTTTCAACTTTGGCGTCATGCAATTTCAAAATTTGTCCGTTAAACTCTCAACGGTTACGTTACCGTTTCGCTATTTCGGATAGCACTTGTTATCGCTACTACTGTGCACTATAAATGCCACTACTCTTCCTTCCAAAGTAGTAACAACCGCTCTGTTGTATGATGCTATTTGTCGGCTACATATTGATAGATCTAAATCTCACCGAAGCATGCCTTTAATTCAAAGTAATTTAAAGCTTGCTGCTAAAGCTTTGCCACGTAAGGTCGCCGTCGTAGCTTGACGTTGACCTACTTTTTCAAAAATCCTTTTCGGGTGACACAAGTACGAGTATGCCGTCCAGCAAGAATAGCACTACGAAACCATTTGAGTCGTATATACGCGTTACGACCAGGCAACCTCGCTTCGCTGTGCGTTGCAACGCTGGGGGTTTAGGATTTGAAAAAAGATTCGCGACCTAATCGCATTGTGAAAGAAGCGTCGGGGTGGTATTTAATAAAGGCAATCTTTAAATTGGTCGTCAGTGATCCCCATGCTTGTTAAAACTAACAAGCTCTTCGTAAACAAATGCTTGCTCCTATATTGATTGTCTATTTAAGTATAAAGCAATCAACTGAAAATGAATACGCACCTAAAACGAAGATCGCGATTGTTGACCAGGCACTGCTAAGAAAGTTACTAACGTCCACTCTAAACACGACGGATACGTGAGGGTCCTGGGTGAGGACGGTGACGAATTTCGTCATGTTGAAGAATCCTTCTTGAACAACTTCAACGGCGTACTGAATTTCCGAATGTCAAAGGACAGAGAGGAAGGACAAAGAAAGGACAGGGTTAAATTTTAATGAACAGCTTTCCTTGTTAGTACAAAACCATTATCAACGCCGAAATTGAATAAGGGGCAAGACATTTCTAACAATACGGTTATTTGAATTTACCTTTGCTGTCATTTACTATGTGACTGAAACAAACTAGTTGAACAAAACGGAAAAATCAAAGCAAAAAGCCTACGTACATGTCCCGCTGGCAACGGCAGATAGAACCGGCCATCGTGATCCGTGCGCTTAATGAGTGACACCCCATCGACGATCACACGACTATGCTCGAGGGGTTTTCCAGACGCGGTTTCAACTCGACCTTCGATGCCCTCGTGTACCTACTCACAGCGATAATGAAAATGAAGGTGCGGTTATTAATTAAGAATCGGAGAAGCTCACACTGCTTTTCAGCACATCAGTTGGCAAGAGCACCGAACAACGGGCACTATCGTACACATCTCCTTTTCTTTTGTATTGTTTTCTTCTGTACTTTTCTATTGTACGCTGCATAGGCCAAGTAATTACATGTTGCCGTAAATGGCTTACTAACCATAGCAAGGAATTTTAGCAGAGCTGGCTTTAAAGCCTCTGCGATCATCCGGCGTTGATCCTCAGAAGGAACGGGACAGCAGGACGTAAAGGCGGCCACGGAAAAAACTCCGTTTTGAGCCAAGGCGCTTTCGAAAGTTCCCTGAATACCCAGAGACGCTTCACTCTGAATATCACCTGTACCATCCGATACGAAACAAGCTGTAGCCAACGCTGCTCATCAAGCAGTGAAGTACCATTCCCATAACATATCGAAAATTATCTTCAAATCGGTGGGTTATTCGACTCTTTTTCGTTACTTGTAAGCAAGCATAAAGTCTTTATTCATTGTGTAAGTGAACATACATGGATTTGTATTGATCGCGAAATTTGAAAGTGGTAAGGGTTTGATCATTCATTTCTTTAGTTTATATTTCAGGATTTAAGGATTACTATTTAAGGGTTTCTACTCCTTACATTCTACCGATTGATAGCAACGCATCTATTTATTTATAACATACTTTGAGCTGCCTTAATGCCCTTTCTGTTATGAATCGACTTGAACGAGCAGGCACGTCCTGAACGATCGATATCCTGCAGTTGTAGGCCAAGTCGACGCAGCGAACGTGCCAGATTATAGGCGGCCTTTTCCTCCGGCCCACTTCGTCCGGCGAACAGAATTCCGTTAGCGCCAGATTTGAGCGACAACGACGACACCTGCAAGTGCAAAGAAACACGAAACGTTAAGACTAGTTCCTTTTCTTTTCAATGATCAAATTTAAGCATCTCCTCACTTGCACCCAATGTGAGGATAAATTAGTTTATGAGTGTGAAATGAGTCCTTGTGGAATAGCCTAATGGTAAGGTGTTTGCCTAGTTGTTTTAGGGACACGTAGTGACGAGATTTAGGTCCGAGATCGGAGGTACCTGCACGGTTTGTTTAACAATGAAACAAAAAAGAGCTACCTAAAGCAGTGGCTAACGCAGGCTAATGTACCGGACGTAAAGCTCAAGACCCTTTTTTAGATCCAGAGAAACTTTCATTGAACACGTAGTGTTACCTATTGTAGAGTAATACATATGCGCACCTAAGGCGCGTACTCATGCGTTGGCCAGGACGTAAACAATTTTATAAAAAATCTAATACATTAGTTACCTTTGATACGAAACTGAAATCAAACTATGGCGCAGTTAATGCTCAAAGACTTACCATATGCGAAGAGGAGCTAGAAAGCCACTGGGAAAGAGCTGCCAAAGACCACAACGACGATGGATGCTCGCCTTGTGAATACATACCAACGTTCAGTCTCACACCATCTGAAGAATTATCTGCAACACGGAATATTATATATTTATGGTAATTGTATATAGTGGCATTGCAAACTTAAATTACCGAATGCCTGCCCCCTGCTATCTGCCAAACTTATCTCCGATAATTGAATATGAACAAGTCATTCGCAATGATTTCCTATAAAAAATGACGCAGTTAACACTCTTTGTAAAAAGCGTAAAATATGAGAACCTGGACCAGGGTGTACATAAAAAATGTACAAGTCCGAATAGAGATTATAATACTCACTAAAAATGTGTTCATAGGAAGAGTAATTATGTTTTGCCTGACTGCAATCGAAGCTCCCCGTTTGCTTCGCGTCAATCACCTCGTCTACGGCAACCATGGGAACGATGAACACCTTCGTTGTATTCAAAATCTAAACAACGTAATAGGAGTGTGCATAACCTTAAAAAGAAGTCCAGATATGTACACCCGCTACAATTGGGCTCGCCTGAACCTTAGCCAGCTCCATATGCAGAATAGGGCAAAGGTTTCCCCATAATTTAGCAAAACTATCACTTAACAATTCTATTTTTCATTTCATTCATCTCTTAAAACCAATAGAGAGCGACACATAGTAAAAAAAAAAAAAAAACGTTAAGTCAATACTCTCAGTTGATTACGTGATTTCCAGCTGTTATCTCATTCAATCAAGAAAATGCCATAGTCTTCTTGAAAAATATTGTTCTATGCCCTCTAAGTGCAGAACTTACTTGAGTGATGAGGTTATCTTTTCCATAGCGCGAAGCAAGTACTCGAGCCAATCCGAGTGCTGTCTGAATAGCTGCCACATCGTTGCCAAGGTGACCCGCGGTAATTAGGGTCTCCGGCTGGTGAGGTGCGTGATGCGGACCGGAAGGTACCGAGCTAAGCTCCAGTAGCCATAGATCGCGGCTGTGCGAACCTAACCGGCCCAGACTGACGCAAAAATCTATTAAACACTACTATATTGGACACTATAGAGCGGATGCGTCTATATTTCATCTCGAAAAAAAATTTCATCAAAGCTTTTTATTACAAAATAATCCACTTACAACAAGAGTGTCTTTTAAGCCCGTTTCTTTGTTCAATATAATGGGCAGACGATCGCTAAATGAGCACACCTAAACAATGAACCAACCGGTTTTACGATCCAGGGACACAACGGACCAGAAGATCAAGGCTACTGCTGGGTATCGTCGGCTGTGCAATAACGTTGTTTGCACCATATTCCATAGCGGTTACGTGCCTAATGTGTATTCCATGTATCATTCGACTTACCTCGTCAATTTTGTGTGGGTCGGATAATTACGTTCGACTTCTTTGAGCAATTGGGTAACACCTTCGTAGCCTCCAAAGAGGCCAGAATCGGTGTTGATAGACAATATGAGAGGATCGAGCCGGAGCGGCCTGGGGCCCTTGGTGACCCCTGCTAAGACGACTTCGTAACCTGGCGCAGACGCTATTGAGGTGCATCAAGGAGGGTCGAGCGAGCAACATATAAAGATGGAGCCGTGACCATTGCCAAAGTCCGATAGCAGCCGGGAACAAAACGACAGGCGCCACAATGCAAGAGGGAGAAGAAAAAAATCAATAGTCCGATAAGACCTAGTATTCCATATTACTATAACTGTCAATTCGAATCCGCTTAGTGCAAGATTGTTAACGGGTGACTCCAATAAGCGAATTTCAATAAATATTGTGTAAACTAATAAAAACGAGCACGAATTAAATCAATGTATACTTGTGTTTGAAACATGCGTTGGTGTAATTTTGCTTTTTTGCCTATCACCATTTCCTACTAGCCCGACATATAAAAGCTATTTCAACATCGATTTCAAACAAAAATAATAATAAAAACAACTACGGCAGTAATGTGCAGACTTATACTGCAGAGCTCAAATACGTAGAGTTGGCTTTCTCAAAGATCTTTACTTGCCAATACTCTAGCTGAACGAAGATGGATGGACAACCCCATTTACCCTAATTTTCCATATAGCCGTAAGCTATATGTATTGCTATACAAGTCGTTTTCCCAATGATAAATCACGTGTGTGTATGGCGGACGCGCACCTAATTGCACTTACAAATAAGCACGCGGCTATCCCTATGTCCGGGAATGCATGCGACCACAGAATTGTGAAATAAGTTAGTGTTACACCGCTACTCTCCAATGTCGGCCCGGTACAAATATTAGGGCCACTTAGCTTATTAGTTACCTGAATGAATCAATTAGTCGAGAGTAAACTCTACGCCTGCGAAACTGTCAAGATGACCACCCTCAGTAGATAGATAGATAGATAGATAGATGGATAGATAGATAGATAGATAGATGGATAGATAGATAGATGGATAGATAGATAGATGGATAGATAGATAGATATGGATAGATAGATAGATAGATAGATAGATAGATAGATAGATAGATAGATAGATAGATAGATAGATAGATAGATAGATAGATAGATAGATAGATAGATAGATAGATAGATAGATAGATAGATAGATAGATAGATAGATAGATAGATAGATAGATAGATAGATAGATAGATAGATAGATAGATAGATAGATAGATAGATAGATAGATGGATAGATAGATAGATGGATAGATAGATAGATGGATAGATAGATAGATAGATAGATAGATAGATGATAGATAGATAGATAGATAGATAGATAGATAGATAGATAGATAGATAGATAGATAGATAGATAGATAGATAGATAGATAGATAGATAGATAGATAGATAGATGGATAGATAGATAGATAGATAGATGGATAGATAGATAGATGGATAGATAGATAGATGGATAGATAGATAGATGGATAGATTGATGGATAGATTTGTTCTTTTCTAATTTCCGATAACCTTTTGTGGCCACAATAAATAAATAGATAGATACCGCAAAAAAGATTAATGGCCAACTTTCTTACCTGCGATATACAGTGTACCTGGAGGTGCCAAGAACGAAAACGCCCCGTCTGATAGGATAGGCACATTCGGCCTCGAACTAGTTGTCACGGTTAGCTGCACATTATGAACAATACCTCCTCCCTGCTCGCTGTGCACAATACCCGCGACTGACATGGCTAATGCGCTCGTTAGAAACTGGATCAGGGTCGGCTGAACTCGCTGGTATAACTGGTAGAGATCGCTTGCTGATGGACGGGCGCAGCACTCCACATACGCCGTGGCTATAAACGCGGAATGCTGTTGATATGCGTAATCGAGGAAGGAGCCCGGTAGCTCCTCGGGAATACCCCGTGAACAGCTACCCCCGATTGCATCAAGTGATTCCGTCAGCTTCGTAAGTATTTCTGCTGAATCTGTCTCCGACTCATTTAAGGTCGGCAGGCGAACACCCATTGCTCCACTTTCGAGGTTTAGCGCAGCGGCATAACCGAACTGTTCAAACAGCTTGATGAGGATGCGAACTCGAGGATCAGAACGATTGCCAGCGGAGAACAAATGATTAACATCGTCATTCGAATCAATGGAGACGTCACAGCTCCCCGAGTCATCGCCGTTTTCCGGACTCCAGACCGAATCCACGTACGGGACAATATGAATGACCATGTTGTCAATCAGGTCCCGATACTGCTTCACCTGCGTGGGCGGCAAGGACAACAACGATGCCGCCAACAATGCAAAAGTCAATTGTATTACAATGTAAAGTATTACAATGTAGAAAAAAATAACGTGTTAAAAGCCATAAAACAGTTATATCCACAATGGTCGGAGAAGTCTGACATTGTCGCGGTCACGCTCAGCACGGAACTTCTGTATGACGAGGCCTGTTGACTATACCAGATTTGTGTCCCTCTATATCCTCACCAGTTCCTGCATTTGCTTAACAATTCTTGCTCGTTTAAAGGGCATAGGGTACATTTGCTGTCAAATCAAACCTGCTTGCGGTAGCCTTCCGCCAAATGCCGTGCAAACTTCATGAGGATTTCTCGGCCAACAGCTTGTGAACTACGCAAACCTCCCAAGAGGAGTACGCGCGGCTTGGCACCCTATAATCGAACAAGACATTAAATAAAAATTGAAAGGCATGCTTTGTTATTAATTTCATAGTAAGCAATTGATAAAAATATGGAATACTGTTTGTGTTCAGTTGTGGCAAATCGCTGCTTTCGTAAAAATGAATTTACCGAATTCATCTCGTTGGAGATGTGCATGAACTCAAGAACCTTTAAGCTACTTCTTCCATTTCCCTCGTCATAAGCTTGTTTCACATTGAAAATCACTTGGTTATCAGCACGAAGTAGTTCCATTTCATTGTTGAGTTCCGCAAGCGTGAGATACTTTCTAGCCATATTTTGAGCTATTGAAAAATCATTCTCCTTCGCCCAGTGGACTTCTTCGACGTTGACCTTAAAATCAACCAATACGGGCTGCTTTTCCTGGTCGTCAGGTACAGTCACCGACTTTGTGTCAGCATGAATTCCGTCAACCACAGCGGAAACCTGAGGACAGAATGGAACAATGAGAAAATTCATATTCATAGCGTACTGATAGACATTGCATGTAATGATGCTCGAATCGTTCTAGCAAAAAGTAGCATATCCTCTTTTACTAGTCAACAAACACTCCACACCTGATAGGTTCCAGGCTGTAGAAGTCGCCAGTAATCGCCATCTTCGGCTGACCTAACGTCGTGTTTGATGCTGCTCACATGGATCGGCACGTTTCGAAGGGCCCGGCCGGACTCGTCGCGCACGAAGCCCTTAATACCGATATGAGTTAACTCGATAAATTTCAGCAAGGGCCTCTTATTATCATCCCAGTATTTCTCCAACTGGTTCGCATACGGAAACTTCTGACAGCCCATCTCGATTGTAAGCTCAAAACAGTTCGAATGCAGGTAGTTGAAATCCTGCATGCCCCCATATAGGATGTACCATTGTGCGCCATTTGTGATGCCCTCATCAAAGCGATCCTTGAAGCCTTTGGCGCACGCTTCACCCATGTGCATCTTCGGGTGTAATCGCGAATAGACGCGGGCCAGCATACGGAACAGATTGTCGTCCGGAGTTCCACTGTACATGTGATCGACCTAGTGGTTAAAAGGTTTCGCAGAGGTAAGGTGGATATCTAAATGATTACTGAAATTGATGACATGATTTGAACGTTTACAACGATACGATCATTTAAGCCGTATGGTAACTGTGCGCAGAGCCAAAACACTATGTACACGACCAAATTTCTAGTGGATTACCTACCTTAGCAATATTTCCGTCATAAGGATAATTGGCTACAAGAGCCCCTCCGTGAAGGTTGGCGGAGAGTACGAATGGCCTCGAGGTTATCCATGACATCATAGCCAATGTCTCCGGTTCGAATTTATCCTTTCCGGCTTCGGTCTATAATGCCAGAACGCGCACCAAAAAGGTGTACATGGATCCTTTTCGTAGCTCTGCTTGCTTAATGTGCCCAGGCAAACTTTCGTAGACAAAACAGAGAGCTAACATTTGATAGTAATTAACGCTATTGAAGTTAAACACAATGTCGCGCACCAACCTGATTACCAAGATACTGGTCGGGAAAGTTACGATTGAGATCAACATTATTCGCATTCGTTCGACCAGTTAACGATTCGTAGTCTCCCTCCTTGGCCTTCTCATATCCATCCGGGTTCATCGATGGCATGATGAAAACTCTGGTTAAGTAATTACAGAGACAATCAACAATCGTTACTCGCGATGTAACTCTATAACGAATCAGAATTAGTAACTATCGAGAAAAACAATAGCAGCCCAAACATCAAGCTCCTTTTCCTTCTGCGAAATTTTGCGCACGAAAGATTGATATGTGTGTATGAATATGCATAGACAACTGTTCCCATATCCTCATCAGACACATCTCAACAACGACTCGCACGGATAAGGTTTTCTTGCCCTGGATGTCTGAACGTGAAGCCGGTTTACAATAGTCCTATTTAGAGGCGACATAAATCGTTGCCATCGTAGTGTGCTCGCATTCATTCATTCATTAGCGGCTGCTTTAAGAGGCTTAAGGGGTAAAAATGGTTACAGCCTAATTATGGGGAATACCAATAATTAGTGTTTACCTTGTACTGTTGATGATTTTAGTGATACGCGAAGTCTTGCCGTACCCTTCGCACAGAAGCTGGGCCATCAGGAGGCTGATCTCGCGACCAACAACCTTGAATGGCAAAACAAAAGAAAACGAAGTACAGACAATAAGCATTTCTACATATATATATCATCTATGGATATATATATTTATATAATCATCTATAGAAAGAGGACTTGATTTTTAGTCAGTGTCAGTTGCTAGAATGTCAACTATTACAGGATGTTCAACTGGACTACGTTTACAATGTAAGTAACTTATATGCTTTGCGTACACATAGCATATTCAGGTCAATCTGGAATATACTGTTTCATTTCGCCGTACAATTGCAACGAGCACGTAATAAACGAAGCACGTTATCATGGAAGGGAGGTAGAAAAAACCATTATTCAGTTCTTCATTGAATAGTCTAATAGGGATATGGACAGTTACTTGGGAAGTGGTTTTGCCTCATCGCAGAAGAATATACCTCATTTCCGTGCATATTAGCAACGATTTTCATTTCCGGTTCGCCCGGTTCATGTATTCCAGGCTGGTTGGAGATTTCGAGAACCTGGTGACAAAGATATGACTTAATTGGTTATTTATAATAAGGTTTAGTACCGCAAACTTGCCAGTTATATCATAGACGTACTGGCTAAGCAGACGTAAGCAGCAAAACGTTTTATCAGGTCTATACAGTACTTTCTACAATGACATTTTTCCACAATTATAAGGCCTGCAGCCCCCATCCGAGTATAGGTAAAGTCTATTTCTTTTTTTTGCAAATCTCGGAGCCTCAAGGAGACCAGTTGACCATATTTTGATAGTGCTTCATCTAACAAATACTATCTAGCCGATAATTAGTGAATAAATAATGCGTAACCGTCTCTTTTTATAGGTGCGAAATATGCGCTACTAACCCACATCTCGCGATGTTCGACGGTCCTTCCTATAGAGGTAAGCCTTGTTAGATGAGGAAACCTTTCGTTGAGCATATGCAGGAAGTCGGTCAAAGCTTTGTAGTTATGGTGCCGGAACTCAGGTGGCGTGGCAAAGAGAAAATCATCGATATCTTTCTCCATCGTCTGTAGAAATCAGTACCAAAACAGAATATATTGAAAAAATTCTAACAAACGTTGCATTGGCGCGAACGTTAACAATTAGTAGCCGCAACGTAGTAACAGTCACAACAATCAAGTAAAACCCCTGTTAGCGCATGCGAGACAGAAGTCCAATTGATACGATAAACCAATGCAATTATCAAGTGTTTTGGACAAAACAACTTAGATATGATTTGCCAATAACACCCAGCGGATAATGGCTATGACATACACTGAACAGCATCAGATCTATGATAAATAAACTTATAGACCGACAATCAAGTTAACACATCTCTTGCTAGATCTGTTAAAGATGTTAGAAAGGTTAGTAGCTACAAAAGAGGCACCAGCCGACCTGAGTTATCAAGGACGAAGCTTCCATAAGGTACGGGACAGACCTCGTGTTGAGTCACTTGTTACCAGTTGCTCTAAATGTACCGTATCCGTTATTACCACGACACATGGGCGACAAACGTGAGTCCTAAAGGCTTAATGTACGCTTATTGGGCGCAACTAAATATTTATCTAGGATTTATTCGTACTTGGATACGGGGTAGTATAACGTTTGAAATAAACATCCGACAATCATTCCGATTCATGCCGAGGTGTTTTCGTCTGACAGCCGGAGAAGCTATTGGAAGTGACGCAAATATCCTCAGTTGGAGTCCGCATGATACGATAAACCAGAAAATAATAATTTCGGTTTCTTTCTTATTATTATTACCTGTTACTAAATACAGCTTACTTTCGGCTTTAGAATTTTTTCTTGGAAAAGTTTTTTTCGGTCCGGAAGGAAATTCGTAATACCTCCGAAACGCAGTCAGTTAATTAAAAGATTCTTCATTGGAATAATTCGTGTGCGGGAATTCGAAGAAGAACCATGCGAAATATTCACTGGCGTTTTAGGGTTTGGCTACGAACGTAACACTGAATTCGTTTTTTCCCCGAAAGCAAGTGATTCTCTGGCGAAAGATGCAAACGTTTACGAACGCTATGCATTGCGTTATATTTGTTTAGCTACAATATCCATTGTCCGTCAGTATCCTTATGGTTGCTTGTAGTCTCATGTAGCCTCTAGGCCATGCCGTGTACCTTGTCGGTGTCATCGAACGACTCCTTGTGAACCGTGTTTGCTACCTGCGGTTCCAGTATTAAGTCCACTGTAGTAGCCGCCCCTGTGCGGACTGACACGTTCCGCTTAAGTAAGGTTTTATACCTGAAAACAACAAAGGGAAACATCTGGTCACATCTAGGCATGTAGAACACTGCGACATTACGGCTAGAACCGGGAACCATAAAGCGGTTTTGATGTAGAACTCCGGCTTCTTGTGAAGCTAAACTCTTAAAAGGATCGTCTCTGTAATAAACAGAAGTGTGCCTTACCCAGGAGCTGTGACCGTGATGTTGTAGGTGCCAGGCAGTAGAAGACGCCAAAACTCCCCTCGAAGACTCGAGGTAACGTTGTGTTTAATTCCCTCTACCGCAACGGTAGCCTGCTTCACAGGAGCCATTGAGTCCCGGTTACGGATTAATCCCTTAATACCCATGTGAACCTATGACCAGCAAAGCCACATATATATTTGCTTAGGAAATTCACCAGCGTGTGTTTATATCAATGGAACAATGAACGGATTCAAGGAGAATATACCAGTCTAGAGTTTTATATTCGGAACCGCTACTAGGCATTACGTTAGAAAGTATTTTGAGCAACTCAAGCGAGACAACAGCTGTGAGGCTGGACTACGTACGGGATGTACTGAGAGAAAACGTTATTATTCCTGATGTTTGTCCAACATAGCAAGTCATGTCACCGGATAAAATTGTATGTACGAAAAAAGAAGTGTGAACGCGGGTATGGCAATAGGGAACAGGCAATAGGGCACAACGATATAGTATATTAATCTGCGAGTCAAAATGGTCGATTATGTGGTAAATAAGAAAAAAAATCAAAGTTGTAATGAAAAGGACAAAGGGCATAGCACAGGCGATGTATACCAAAAAAATAGGCACCGTCGAGTTACGGTAGATTTGTACAAAATAATGGAAAAGCTTGTCAGCTTTTGCAGTGCCGTGTGTTAATGCAACGCTAGTCTATAGTCTACACCTAATATAGACAGCAGAGAGAGAGAGAGAGAGAGAGAGAGAGAGAGAGAAGCACAAGCAGGTTTCTCAGCGCGCTCACCATCAGTGGCCGCCATGTTTAAGCGTACCCGGTTCTTAACGTTAGGGGAAAAAGCCCATTCAAGACCTTCTATGAGGCCACGCTAAAGAGGAAATTAACAGTACAGCGGTACGCACTATGTACACTAAAAGTACGAGCAAAATGGAACGTCCGTAACTCTTCAAGGGGAGACTTGGAGCGATTACTAGGCTATGGAAAAACAATCGTCAGAGCCGCTTAGAAATCTAGAAAAGAATCAGGTGAACAAGAACGGAAGGAAGAAATTTAAAGGGAAAAACTTATGAAATCGTGCGAAGGCAGGATAAGAACATCCGATTTCAATGATGCGTTATACTGCAGTCCAACTACCCACTGTTCGTAGATTCATCGTGGCTAGGAAAGGGAATTTTAGGCGCCAATGTTTAAAAATATAACAGCAGTGAAATAAATTCGATTGTACAGCAACAATTGAATATAATTGATGTTGCGGTCATTTAATAATGAACGAAATTTATGAAACAGAGCGGGTGATGGCGAAGCAGGTTGTGAAATAGAATTGTAAGACACTCCTTAATATAATAACAATAACAATATTGCTAACAACAGTAGTCTGAATAAATAGCAGGGTTTGCCTTTGTCACGAAAGAATTTCTATAATAAAATAGTGAATGAAAAAAAAAAAAAAACCATAATTTTATCATTGAACATAACGCCGTTTAGGCTCAAAAACTTCTACATGTCAAACGTTTGCTCGTTACAAGGCTAAATGTATTCCTGTTCATCCAATAAATTTGATTATTAGCTAATATAAAAATAAGCACGACATTTGGATGTTACTGAAGAGGCAGTCCAATTATTTTTTATAAAGGTCACCAACGTTGTGTCTGGGTCGTCTCTTGTTCAGTATTTTGGCATAGATATACATACAATAATTAGCACCTAGAGAACTTTACATACATATGTTTCGTTTTTTTTCCCATTTCTATACAGTTATAACTGGACGCGAACGCCAATTATGTGAAGCGACTCGCCTCGCCTTAGAAATAGTTCTCAACGTACCATATTTCAAGCGTTTACTACGCTTTACTTGGGACATATGGCGATTCGAAATTACGATCCAGTCTTTGGAGGTGCTACAATGAATATGTATTTTAACAAAAGACCCCTTTACACCCGTCGTTATCAGCTACCCTTGGAAATCTACTGGAAAACGAAACCTAATCTAGTTTTGTAACGTCCTCCAGCCCATTTCGTATTCGCAGAGGGATTTTTATTTCGAAAAACGTGTGATTAGACTTTTCGTTACACCGCAGACACGTGTCGCTCACAAAAACACTGCAGGAAACGCGCTCCGCGGCGTTGTGCATCCTTAATCCTGACACTCATTGACCATGTCAGTGGCAGGAGAAATATCTAACAATGCTAAAAAAAAACCTAGCGGCAATGAAGTACAACTGGTGACCTGGAGGAATTCTGTTCCATGTACCTAACTTAAAAATATATCAAGTCTTACGATTTATAGTGCCACTAAGCATTCCTTTGCGACCTTGTCTCTAATCTAGCAACATACTACTTCGCTTGAGTTTTGTTTGGTTGGCAACAAATAAAAACGAAAAGTTCCTATTGAATCATTGGTTTGCTTTAATGTTTCTGTCTTCTGCTTGCAAATGGCCTACAATTTTACGTACGGCAATAACGTCTCGGTGATAAATGTTAGCCACTGAAAATTGGCCACGACATCCCTCAATAATAAAAGATCAACTTTAGTTTGGGTTGACGATAATTTATTGCCTTTGGTTCATCGTGGTCTTACTTTTCTTGATAAACTTATGTTAAGATGGGCCAATAGTGTAGAAAAATCCTTCCAGTGCATTATTAGAACAATGGAAAACTTCCATGGAAAGATAATTAAGTTATGACCACAAGTGAGTTGTGTGGCACTTCGCACGTAAATACTTCTGGGTTAATATTATTTTTCAGTGTGGTTACAAGTCCATCTTCACAATCGCGTTCTCTTGTTCTTCTTTTTTTTTAGATATTTCAGTATTCGTCGCTTAAAAAAACAACGAATTAACAATAAACTATAACGAACGTCAGTTATCTGTTCTATAAGGTTTATTTCTATACCTGCTCCATGTAACCGATAAGGCTACGCCAGTTGTCGTTCCACTCCTGGACTAACTGGGACGCGTTTGGGTACTTGCAGCAGGACAACTCTAAGGTCGTCTCCAGGCAGTTGCTGAAGGCATAGTTAAAGTCGGCCATTCCACCTGTAAACGCAAAAGAGAAGTTTCCAGATTACAAATAAAGGGTATATTTAATGCTAACATTTCGCTCGATATTTAATAGATAGGTCATACGATTAAATGGATATCGATTATTCTTTGTACCAATATAATCGTAGAGGTGGTGTTTGATTGTAGTAACTTTTTTTTTCGTATATAGCTTATATCATACAATATTATTACGCGACATGGCACCGAGTTGCCAGAAAGTACTGCCTTTGCAAAAATCAGCTGCTTTGCTATTCTAATTATGGTTTATATAAAATAGAAGGAAGAAGTTAACATCATATTATAGTTTAACGCTGCTAAAGGCAATTGAAACGTTTGCTAAAACGAAAGCAGGCTCCGTACGCCACGCATGTAGGTCTTCTTATTTTTGCCTGAAAGCCCTCCAGTTTCTATAAAATGATTACTCACATAACTTAGTTAGATTAGTTAAACCCGGCTAGCTTAGTTTTAACTTGGCCACACAACGTTTTTTCCTGCCTTGAATGCCCTAAACTTAAACACATCTATTACCCCCTGACGTTTTGGCAATATTCCATACTGGGTCGGTCGAGAACCAGACACCTGAGCGCTCTACGAGCAGTTCTCGTTAGTTATTTTCGTTGCGAGAATTTGCAAACGTTTTTCACGTCAATTTCGTTACGACACAGACGTTACGATGCAATCAACTGAGTGGATAGCGGAAATCGAACTTCGACAACAAAATATCTGTGAAGGATTAGCTGAAGTAGCTATCTAAGCTAAATGTTTACATTTGTTGGGGTAACGAGGTTGTCATATACTACAGACATTATCTTTCAGGTAAGGAGATCACGAAGCAACGCTGCATAGATGCGCATCCATGAAATGGAGCGCGCCTCGGGGCCTTACGGACTCTACAGTAAAGGTGTCCAATGGGAAAGATCTTTGACGCAAAAGAGAATAGACATTCATAGCATCTCTGGTGTTTTTTGATCGTTTTTACCTTTCTGTGCATACCATTCGGCGCCATTTGTAATTCCATTCTCAAAGTGATTGCTCTCCTCGTCACAGCTACTGCCTCGCAGCATTCGGGGGTGATTCTTCGAGTAGATTTGAGCTAGATATTGAAACAACTGATCATCTGGGGATGGACTCTTCTGTCCCACGACACTTGGCTTTCCTGCAAATAATAGTCGCATATTTATAATTTACAATATAGCACCAATGGCGCAGTGACTAGCTCTGTGATTAGCTCAGCGAAGCGCGGCTTACTTTCTTACCTTAGCTTAAAACAACTAGCTAACGTAACTAAATTTTCACATTAGTGCTTAACAATAGTAACAGGGGCTACACATCAGAGTCACATTATGCTCGCTCATCGCTAACACCGAAACGATGGCACAGATAGAGTTCCACGAAATGTATTCATGGGATTTCATTGAAACTTTCTCGACGAGACCAGTGGCCCATTTTACGTGCATGAACTAGAAGAAAAACGCAGATTACTGTCTGCGCATTTCCGCTTCCCTGCAGCTTTGTACGCGATCAATATACGACGTCTTACACAGACCAGAGACCGACCCACAACGCGGGTCGAAGAGCATATATTATGTACATTTAAGCATACCAGAGTTGTTAAAAATGACTTCGATCGATATTGTAACAATGTGCTAAAGAGCATCAAGCAGAGGTCCTTTTTGCTTGCCTGTTTCCCTCCCATGGGTTGTTTGCCCGTGGAGCTATGGGGTCAAAGAACCTGTTCTCGCTCGCATAATGTTAGTAGACTCATCATAACTGTATCTATCCTGCAAATGTCGCTTAACAATATTCTATAATACCATGCTGCAAGACAACACAGTCTCAAAAATAACAGCGAGATCAGAAAATTAAAATTTCTTTTACACCCTTAAGAAAAAAGCTAATATTCTAAGAAACACAATCTTTATACGATCATTTCTTTACTACAGGCTAGGCACTGTAAGCGATATTACTGACATACAAATTATTATGACCACACTGCCGATACCACTACTTTTGGAAAACGTCGAGTAATATATAATAAAGTGAGTAGGAAGTAATATCGTAGCTTATAATTGAGCTTAGGATCGCAGCAGACATCACTGTTGATAGTTACGCCAGAACTGTTTGTCCTTGGCTATTTACGGAAGGCCAAATCTATTTCAGTCGGACATGCTATTCTATTTTTGTGCCATCGACCCTACTTATTTGCCTATTTGTCGGAAGTGTCATCATTTTTGTTTATTACTCAACTTTATTAATTAAATTTTTATGTGCCATCGCACAACCATTATGATCCGAAAAAGTCGGTAGCCTTTATTTTATCCTAAATTAGAAAAATTTTGACACGAAATGGGACAATTGTTTACCATCCAGAGCATTCAGAACACAGTATCCGATACAGATGATGCAGACTAAACTATGCACGGCTACTGGAAGCAGTCGACTTTCGTGAGGATTTTATATAATCTGCTGCATGTTGCAAAAATATCAATTTTTAACTTTCCGATTGTTGCCACCCAGGTAAATTCAGCCGTGAACCTAGCATATAAAGCGATCTTCCCAAGCACCGGCATTTGAACGATCTGTTTATATCAATTTAAACACGTAGGTCTCAGGCAAACTTACGGTCAGCTGGTGGAGGTGGCAGTGAGTCGTACGGGTAGGCTACGACAAGACCCCCGGTGTGAAGCGATGCCGATAACACGAATGGGTTTGCGACGGTCCACCGCATCAGGGATAACGTCTCGTTTTGCTTGTTCTATACGAAATGGACATAAGGCGAAAGAAATTGAAGGCATAATTTCAAAAAAACGAAGCAATATTATTTGTTACCTTCTAAAAGTATTTCCTATTATATATATAATGCAGAGGGTTCTTGTCGGCTCACATCAACTTTGACCAATATCGACATCGATGGAAAAAGAAAACTAGATCGGGAGTGTCCAGATCCGTTACCGAGTCCTATTACTTTGTATTCACGGTCCGAATGATTATGACGAGTTTCGGTCGCAATGTCAGTAAATAATCTCCGAAATTAGGCCAAATCTTGAACTATTTATTATTACTATAATCACCAGTATTATTTTGAACAAGCAGGTAAGTCCTCACCAGCCAGGCGTCCTGGTTACTGTCGAAGGGTCCGGGGAAATCTTGATTGAGGTCTATTCCGTTGGCGTTCTCTCGACCCGTACTACGCGCATCTCCACCGGCTCCATCACAGTCTCCTTCACGAGCCAGCTCACGGCCATCCGGATTAGCAATGGGCAATATGTGCAATTCGGTCTGATTGAGGAGCCGGGTAACCCGGCTGTCTTTGCCGAATTGATCGAGTAGATGTTCAACAAGCATCAGCAGTAATTGTGACGATAACGCCTCATTGCCGTGAATGCCACCGACAAGCTTTAGGAGAGGTTTCAGAGGAGGCTTAACTGAACGGTCAGTCGTTAACTTTACAACCCAAAGGTCCCGTTTTTCAACGGATTTCCCTATAAAGAGAAGGAATAGGTAGATTAGGATTTGCTGATTTAGTCATTAAGAACACAATACAGAAATTGAGAATCTTGATCAAGATAATTGACATTAAGTCTTTGTGCTTTATCCCGTCATAAGCAAGAAAAAAAAACTTCCAAGAGCCTACCTGCTGTGGACGCTTAAGCCGCTAGATATTAAGCGTTTTATAGATTTACCTGAATTTAAAGTCTATGTCTGGCCTTTACAGCAAAAAAAAATATATAGATACATAAATAAAACGAGAAAAACAAAATACCTTAAAATACGATTCAGCCAACATAATTGAACGTCACGAAGAACAAAACTTGATTTTGATTGAACGCTGTGACATCGCCGAACGGATTACATAGGGGTATACGAGAGCTGTTGCATAATATTATTCAATATATAAGGCTTAGTGTTAGCTATAATCGAATTATCTGGAATTCAATTTGACGTGTATTCAATAACTATTGAAAAAGGCACTGCTCTGTTTTTCAATACTCTTTTGACACAGTGCCGTATGTGTGAATAACTATGTAACTTAAGTAATCGATGCGTTGACTAGGGTATAGCACTTCCTATGACGATAAGTCATCTAACATGTATGGATTAATAGGGTAAGTTTTTTACAAGAACGTTCAGCTCAAGAAAATATTTTAAAGGAATTAGAGCTTGGACACCGAGATTCAAACTGCGAGAGCTTGATGTTACTAAGGGTCCGAAGTGTAGGGATCTCATATAATGAGATCAATGTAAAAACACTTGTAAAGTACGTTGTACTATCAAGTCAATTTCCATAGTACAACCCATTACGTGGTATGACTTAAATAAAAAGCTACGGAGCCCCTAACCAGTGTAATCCGCCCAGATCTCGAAACGCACTGTTACGTACCTTATAGACATCTTGAAGTTGGGATTAAAAAAAAAACTAGGCCCGTAGCTCATGTAACACCGAAGGCCTCAGGAGGCACTAATGTTTGACGTAATTACATATTCAATTAATTAACGAGTTATTCAATTTCTTAATTTCTACTACATATCTGAAACAGTCCATTCTTCATGATATACCAATTAAAAGCACAATAAAGATGCATAGCCTTTGACGCTAAAAAACGATAAAATGGAATTGTCTCCGGACTGTTAAAGCTAAAATCATCGTGTAATGGCGGACGTTCGCTTCGCAGTGTAAACTAACCTATTATATTCATAGTTGGCAGAAACTGAAAGCGCCATACGACCTTGTCTAGAAGCAGTACAAAATAGGTCTTCAATGGCCAATTTAGTGGCAAAATTCGTCTAGTTAGGCTGGCCTTAAAAAGGTATGGAAAGCCTACGATAACACGCTATTGGTTACCCTACAACCTAGCAATCTTACTCGATTTTTAGCCAGAACGTTTCCAGCATCATTATTATAGGTTATTTTTAAGACATAAATAAAAAAAAAAAACAACAATACTATCTTCAGAAGCTGCACATAAAAGGTCATCGTATTTCCACTTCTAACACGTCGCGACGGTGTGAAAATCGGTTCAAAGGCACTGTGAATATGAAGTGCATGGATATTTGATAGATATCATCAGCTAACGCAGACGATTAGGTCCGCAGAAATTATCCCCACTAGACGAGGTAATATCAATATTGGCTTCAAACTATGAGGTACACTGTCATAGCTTTATATTATGATGTCAATCTTGATTGAGGCGGCAGATACTCAGAAGCAATCAGCTGATCTGTCACACACATAACTCAGCGGCACCCTGAATTCTGAACAAAACGCTGTCAAATGTGTCTTACCGTCAAGGGTTTATATAGCCCAGACAAACGTAGCCCACTTGTGGTAATGCTAGCAAAAAATGTACTGCTCAAAGGTTTCATTCACGACGGCTATAGTTGATTTCATAAAATTCTTATATTTTATGAATGTTATACTGCATTTGTTTTATTTCACACATTATTACGTTCTTCTCAGGGCTAGGATAAATTTACGTAGTAAATAATAACAACATGAAGGTCGCACATGTGAGGAGTCGACGCAAGTGGATACAACATACATGCTTAGTGGTCCATTATTGAGTAATGTAAAAAAAAAAAAGAAAACGTAGCGAATGTTTATTTGTGTGGCTGGCAAACAAGTTTCGACCGAATGAAACTGGGGTATCATGCTCAATTATTAACCATTAGTAACCCACTTATTATATTTGGCTTCTTAGAGTTAACAGTTCATACCCAAGAGCTGTGAAACCACAATCATTAAGATATCTTATTAAATGGCTTGTATTCAGGTGACTTTTAACACAATACACTTATGATCCTATTGTATGTCCGTTACGGATCTAGTTTTTGTCTAACTGGCCCCGTAATTTCAATGATATTCATTTACTGAAAGACGTCGATCAGTTGATTTCTGAACAGCCTGAAAACTAATAGTTTATTTATTTATCCTTACCGATCCTACGATTGAAAGTAGCCAACTCGACTCGTCAGGACCCGTAGAGGCGTCGGTGATAAACGTCACTTAGCCTTCATTTAGAAACTGAACAATTCTAGTATGTCTGAAGATTTCAAATGATCATTTGGTACAAAAACACGAATTTAATCATTCCAGTCGTCAGCGCTCGCAGTATTTTCTAGTTAATTTCCAGGACAGCAATTAAGATGCGATAGGAGCTCAGTGTCTGCTCAACGAAACACTTCTGTAGCTGACTAATGAATATATA